GTGTGTGTGTGTGGTTCTCTCTCTGTCTCTCTTCCTTCCGTTTGTTTTTTGTTATGTATGTTTGTATGTGGCCTCTCTCTCTCTTATCTGCGCATCCATGTTTCATATTTTTCCAATCGCGCGCAACATGAGGCAGTTTCATGGAGCTCTGTCCGCCACCGAGAAAAAAACATAAATAAAAGGACACAACCGTGCTTGCGCAGGGGACCTTTCCTGCCAGGCCTTGCGCTACCACGGCACCTTAGATGTACATCCTGCGGGCCGATCCTCACGTCGGGCCTGTCCCTTTACAGGAGGAATCGTAAAAATAGTCAAACCCTACATGAGGAATAGTAAAAATGGTAAAACCATCGCTTGGGGACTATTGTTTGTATATCTACTGTTTGATTGTTTATGTTGACCTGTTCGATGTTCTCACAGTTGTGTATTCGATTATTGAACATCTTCCGGGATTTGTTATTTGGTACTTTCATCCGACATTCGCCTGTGGGGAAGCACGCCCGACGTAAGCCGATCCCCATTTCTGGGAAGAAACGTAGGGGCGGTTCCCGCAGGGATGTGGGGAGCGGGGCGGAATCTTTTGTCAAGGGATCCTCTTCCTCCTCTTCCTCCTCTTCCTCCTCGTCCTCATCCTCTTTCTCCTTCTCCTCCTCCCTCCTTCCTCCTCTTTCCTCCCTCCTTCTCCTCCTTTTTCTCATCGTCCTCCTCCTCCTCCTCCTCCGCCCCTCCCTCCTCCCTCCTCCTCCTCCCTCGTCCCTCCTCCTTCTCCTTCTCCTCCTCCTTCTTTCTCCTCCTCCTCCTCGTCCTCCTCCGCTTCCTCCGCCTTTGTTCCTCCTCCTCCTAACTATCCTTTTCCTCCTCCTCCTCCTCCTCCCTCCGCCCTCCGCCCTCCGCCCGTCTCGTTCCTCCCTTCTCCTCTTCCTCTTCTTCCTCCTCCTCCTCCCCTCCTCCCCTCCTCCTCCTCCCCTCCTCCATCCTCCTCCCCCCCTCCTCATCCTCCTCTCATCCTCCTCCTCCTCCTCCGCCTCCTCCTCCTCCTTTTCCTCCTCCTCCCGTCCTCTCCTCCTCCTCCTCCTCCTCCTCCTCCTCCTCCCCCGCCTCCTCCTCCTTCCTCCTCTCCGCCTCCTCCTCCTCTCCTCCTCCTCTTCCTCCTCCTCCTTCTCCTCTACCTCCTCCGCCTCGTCCTCCTCCTCCTCGTCCTCTCCTCCTCCTCCTCCTCCTCCTCCTCCTCCTCTCCTCCTCCCCTCCTCCCCCCTCCCCCTCCCTCTCCCCTCTCCCCTCCCCCCCCCTCCTCCTCCTACCCATCCTCCTCCTCTTCCTCCTCCTTGTCCTTCTAGGCGTGTTGGCTGAAGTTTCTTCAGCGTGCTGCCACCGACGCTTCAAAACGGCTGGGTGTCAGCGGGCCATTTTGGCGCGGTTCGTCTTCCAAAACGGCTCGCCTGCTATGGCAGGCGTGCACACGTCCCGCGGCGGCAGCGACGGCAATGCTCGTGGTGGCCTTCGTTGGGCATGCCGCCTTTGCGGGTGCAGAAGATATGAGTCCTACTGCATCTACTGCGCGCGCTGCACCAAGTGGTGGAATGCCCGTGCTGATGGCTTGCCAGCAGCAGCAGGGGAGAAGTCCCGTGGTGACCCAGCCGCCGTTCGTCGAGAAATTGCTGGTGTTGCTGCGGGTCAATCCACCACCCCACCCATGGCTAGCCAGCCCACCGCGCGCCCCAGCAAGGCGGACTTTGAGCATATTGCCCAGCTGTGCGAGAAGACTGGCAACCAGGGCATGTTGCAGCAGGTTCAACGTGAGTTCGGGAGGCTGAAGGCCGCCCCTATCCCTCCTCAAGAGCGTGCTGGCATGGCCCACAAGGCGATCGCCAGGCTTGCGAAGAAGCCGGGTAAGGATCTCAAGGTGGTCCATGCGCCCGAGATGAAGAGTTCGACAAGTTCGACGCCGAGCAGAAGGCCGCCATTTCGGAGTTCCACCTCACGGTCACAAAGCCTGCGCCGCCCGAGCCTCAGCTTCCCTCCATCAGCCCCGCAGACACCCTGGACGGTCGTCTCATTGGGCTGCAGGTTGACGATGGTGGCCCCTTCGGATGGGGAGGTTGCGCGGAGGTGTCGCCGCATGACCCCGGGGAGGTCGCGAGGAGAAAGAACGAGATGGCCGACCAGGTCAAGGAATTGTTGCACCAAGCTCCGCGGGGACATCAAGCAGCGCGCCGAGGAGCACCAGGCAGCGCACAAGGCCAAGCAGGACCGCCTTCTCGCCAAGAGGCGCAAGACCGACGAGGAGGTCAACAGTGGTGCTGCTGGGGCGACCGCTTAGGGTTTGTGTGGGGCTGCTGTCGGCGGTGAGTATTCGAGAGGAGCTGCCGCGGCAAACGCATGTGGGCCCGCCGCATCTGCCCCTGCTGGCGGCGGGGCCCCAGCGGCAGCATCGGGCAATCAACCTATCTTGCCGCCGTCGCCAGCGAAGGCAGCTCCACCAGTGCCCGACGTCCGCGCGACCGCGCGGCAGTCAGTGCGGCGCGGAGCAGGAGCCCCGCCCAGGGCGCCTGCAGCCGCGCAGGCCAAGTCGCTTGCGTAGCAGAGGTGTTGCGGATTCCTCCTGCCCTATGATTCCCCCTTCTTGCCCAGTTTTGGGCGCTTCAGGTCCGCCTGGACGTCGTCGATCGCAAGATCGCACTTCCTGGGATTAGTGCGGGGTGGAGTTCGCCACGGCTAGATGTACCTCTTGGCAGTCTCTCAAGAAGTTTCTTGCCCTGACTACAGCGCGCGTGCCGTTGTGTCTGGAGCACGAGCTCAGCAGCTCTGAGGACCTGCGCAAGTGTGCTCGAAATGGGTGGATGGCGCATTTTGAGCCAGGAGTATTGGGGCCTGGAGGCGGCCCATCCTCGGGGGTCGGGGCCCTGGCCCGCTCCTTCCTCGGATTGGACTGCCCCGACTGCGGGCTTGTTATATATATATATATATATATGTATATATATGTATATTAAGTTAAAGAATATTTATATCAAAACGCAAAAAAAAAACTACAGCCCTGGCCCACCTGCCTAGCCAGGCCAGCTTTTTTTGCTGCGAGTGCTGAGTTGCAGGATTGCGTCGGCCTCAACGAAACTAACAGAGACGCCCTGGCCTGCGTCGCGTCGCGCGCCAAGAGCACGTCGGCCCCGTTCGTCATCGGGGGCAAGTTCAACGCGGGGCCAGCGACTCCATGCACCTCTCATGTCCAGTCCAGGCTCGGGGCCGAAGTGCACTTCCCTGTCTGGCGTCGCGGGCGCGCGCCGGTCTACTTCGGGCGAAAAAAAAACGCATGGCTCCATGCGGGTCGAGGCGAGGGTGGCGCAAGCTATTTCGAGCGCGAAGATAACCAGCGATTCGAATCTTGCCACCCGCGATCCTGTCTCCACCGAGCCCTTCAGCTCGCCCCCCTCCGCGCCCTCGCCTTCAGGGCCCCTCCCTTTTTGCTCATGGCATGCCTTTTTGCCCCCCCCCCCCCCAGCCGCCCCAGTCCGCCCCCCCGCTGCCCCCCGCCCCCCCGGGCCCCCCCGGCCGCCCAGGTTGGCCTCTCGAGCCGTTTAGGTGGCTGAGAGAGGCGAAACGGACCAGACCCAGTTTATTTTGGATGCGTTGTATAGGGAGCGGGGCAGCACGGCCGAAAAGGAGCTCGAGGGGCGCTTCAGATTCAATTCCCAGTCCACGGTGCCAGAGGACGGCAGGCGCAGCCCCACTGGAGCAATGTGGTCGATGCGCCTCGCCGATCGATGTCTCGGACTTCCCGCGCATCGGGGGACGCTACCAGGCTCAGGTGGCTTTGATCTCGCCGCTGTCTTTGGCTCCAGCTGCGCGCGCTCGGCCCCCGGCCCTGAGCGCCGCAGATGGCGCGCCCCCCCCCCCCCCCCAGCCGTGGCATCGAACGAAGACCTTGGAGCGGCGCGGGGGCCACTCGCGGCCCCCGCGCCAGTTTTTTTTCTTTCCGCGCGGAGGAGCCTAGGCAGCAGCACCTTTCGGAGACTGCGGGTGGTCTGCTCAGCCCTCCTGCCGGGCGCGGGATGGCGACCACCTCTCCCTCCTTCAGGCCGCGCAAGATATCATTGCCTTCAGCCCCCCCCCCCAAAAAAAAAGCGCGTCATTGATGGGCATTTCCAGCTCGCGCTCGACCTGGCCCCCCAAGCCCTTACTTCTGCCGAGAGCAAGGCCCGCCAGGAAGATCATGGGAGCTGGTTGGAGTGGATCCGTCATGGCATCGAGAAGGGGCTGCTGGTAGGACCACCCCTACGACTCTGTCTGCCGAGAGCGAGGTGGTTTCGGGCCCTCCGGCCCTCTTGTCGCCCGGGCTCGATAAGTTTGCGCTGTTTTGGCGCGCGCGGCCGTTTTCTGAGGCCCGCTAAGTCGGATGCAAATTCGTCCCCTTTGAGCCGTTGCCTTCTCTCTCGGTCGAAGACCTGCGCTGGGCGGCCCGATCGCCCCCTGCCCACGCTGCCATCTCGGTCGGTGGGTTCCACGCTCGGTCGTTCCAGCACTTGCCCGACCAGGCCCCGGAGATTGTGGCGATTATGTTTTCGATCTGGGAACGACCGGGCCTGCTGCCAGGGCAGATGGAGGTTTGCTTTCGATTGTGCTTGCCAATCCTGATGGGGGGCACCGCCCGATCGGCTGGTTCGTTTCCACAGATCGTTTGTGGGTGAGGACTCGTCGCTGTTTCGGGTGCCTTCTCAAATTTTACGAGTCCGTGGACCTCGACCTCCTCCTCGCCCGTTGCCGCCAGCATTTGTTTCCTACGCAGATTGCCCGCGTCTGCTACGCGGCCTACCGTTCGTGCAGATATATGGCTATGATCGAGCGCGCCGAGGGCCCGCGGTTTGCTTGGCGCGCTTTGATTGCGGGTTGCGGATTCGCGACCACGTTAAGCCGCGCCTTTTCTCGCTTGCGGCCTTCGACGGCCTATATCGGCGTCGCTCAGGGTGTATATCAATGATCGCACATTGTCATGCTCTGGGCGCCCCATGGCTGTCGCCCAGGACCTTCTGGAAGGTGCGTTCAAGTTGCAAGTTGCGATCGAGTCCGATCTAGGCTGTGCGATTATGTTAGGAAGGCGGCCTGTTTCGCCTCTTTGCCTCCCGTTGCTACCGAGATTCGCGGAGGCCTTGGCGCTTTCGGCGGCGCCCCCTGCGTCGTTGCCGTCAGCCCGGGCATCGACGATGCTGTTGGGCAGCCGAGGAGGATGGCCAGGGGGGGCGTTCAGCTTACCTCTCGGGAACAGGATTTCAGGAAGAAGGCCGTCTGGCATCTTCCTGCCCTGGGCCGCCATGCCACGCGCATTTTTACTGGCGGACCGCTGGCCATCAGAACCTGCGGATGCGAGGCGCATGGCACCTCTGACTTTGAGCCCCCCAGTTCGAGGCGGTCTCTTGGACGTTGCCCGAGCCCCTCGGCTGGAGGTCGCCCGCTCGCTGCAGCTCTGCTGTTCGCCGCCGGCCCCCCGCGCGGCGCTGCGCGGCGGCCCCGGTCGTTCGCCCCGGTCGTTCGCGGGTCCAGAGAGGTTTGGGCCAGTTTGACGGCCACCTTTGCTTTTAGCCTCAGCTCACCAGCCTCGAACCCCTATCCTCGAGATTTGACACGCCAAAAGCGATGACAATCTTGGGGATGCACCTTCAGAAACTGAGGGAACCCCTAAGATCGCCATCGTGAAGAGGCGATGCCGAACATAGGAATAGGGATATGTTCCAGGCTGGTAATCAGCCTGGCCGAGTTGCGTCGGCCCTGGGATGCCGTTTTCTCGCCCCCCCCGCCCCTTCTTGGAGGGGAATCGGGGGCCCCGTCGGGGCCCTGAGGCTCTCTGCGGAGCGCCGCGGGTGGAATCTGACGTCTTTCACGGCCCTCGCGGGTGATTTGGGTGTGGAAGTTCGGTTGGCCCTTGTGTCGCCTGCCCTTCTGAAACGCCTCCTCCGCGCTAGCCTACGGAGACAGCCTTGGCCTCGATCGGCGCGCTTGTCTGGGCGCCCCGCTCGCGGCGATGGCGTCTTCCAAGTTTGCGCCGTGGAAAAAAAGAAAAAAAAAAAAAGAAAAAAAAAAAAAAAAGCTGCGTCCGAGGGCTCACCTGTCAGGCCCCTTGGACCAAGGTTCGTGCGTCCGCGCGCGGGCACATCCTGCCAGACCTCCTCTGCCCCCCTGCGCGGCACGGAGCTGGGCGCGATGTGTCGCGTGCTCTGGACGTGCCAGCGCCAGTCCTGCGCCGAGCTTCGGACCGAGCTGTTCGGAGACGATTTCGTTGCCAGAACTGCGCCTACTGCATTTCGTGCTTGTGGCCCAGGGCGAGATGATTATCTGGTGCAGGGAAATTGTCATAGGCGGTTCGTGAATCCGCTCCGTCATTGGAGATCAGTCGAGGACGGGTTGGGCGCATGTGGCGGTTTCCGATTATGGGCAGGAGTTGGGACTTGTGTTCGCTCTTCTCGCTCCCCCCACCCCTCGGACAGCTCAGGCAGGTGCGTTTGCAGCGTGCACTGCCGCCTGTCAGAAAGCTCTAGAGCAGTCGGTTGGGTTCAGTGACTACCAGAACGTTGTACAGTTGTGGGCCCTCCCTCGGCCCGATCAGTTGTCTTTCAGGCGCGTGTATGCCGGCGTGTTTGTCTGGGCGGCTGACTCTACTATGGGACATATTCTTAAGGTTGAAGGTCACATGACCGATGAGCAGGCATCGGTCGACGACCACTCCAAGTTCTGCAAGGCAGGTAGCGACCTAGCCGATCACTATGCGAAGCTCGGGGCTTTGGCTCGCGAGAGGCCGATCCCCGAGCAGTCGGAGTGGCTCGACCGAGCCCTCGCCATTTCTAGACAGGTGTGTGTGTGCGCGCTGGCTGCCAGATTGCTCCAGCTGTGGCCTGCGTGTGACCTGTCAGGGGCCAGACGTGAGCAACGTGAGTCTGTCGCTCCGATTCCTAAGGTCCGCCATTCCTGGGTGAGGAGGGGCGTCTTCTGGGAGTGCAAGCTTTGTGTGCGGGTTGTGCGGTCGCGCTGGCCTCCCAATAGCGTCTGTTCGTCGACCCACAAGCTTTTTGACACGAAGCTCATAGCTCATAGAGCTGCGCCACACGTGCATTCGTCGATGTTGCTCGGACGGCAGCGCCTTATGCATTTGCCTGACGGTATGTGGGGTACCTTAGCCAGAAGTGCAACGGCCAGCCTCGATGCCCTCGGTCGGCTCAATATGATTGAAACCGTACCACTGCTGGTCGGCACCCGAAAAGCGCGGTGTTTGGCTCGACGTGGATGCTGTCACCGTGGTGCGGCTTTTCGTTTGACGCCCGTCGCGCGCCCGGTCTCCTGGCCTAGGCCACGGGGGCGTGGCCCCGACCGACGTGTGGCGTGCACCATGCGCAGGCAACCCAGCGTGCGCGGATGTCTCCTGCGCAGGTTGCGTTACAAGTGCCGTAGCTCGTCGGCTGCCTGGCTGGTTTCAAAGAGGATTGCTAACTGTTGCAGCAGAGTAGCGCAGCGGAAAGGCAAATCCTTCTCCTTCTCCTTCTCCTCCCTCCTCCTCCTCCTCCTCCTCCTCCTCCTCCTCCTCCTCCTCCTCCTCCTCCTCCTCCTCCTCCTCCTCCTCCTCCTCCTCCTTTTCTTCCTCCTCCTTCCTTCTCCTCCCTGTTCCTCCTCCTCCTCCTCCTCCTCCTTCTCCTCCTCCTCCTCCTCCTCCTCCTCCTCCTCCTCCTCCTCCTCCTCCTCCTCCTCCTCCTCCTCCTCCTCCTCCCTCCTTTTCAGGCATTATCTGAAGAGGGGGGTCCAGGCTTGAGGGGCACTCTGACTCTTTCATCATTGATCGTTCCGCCCACTCCACTGCCCCATCTTGCACCACTGTTTCCATATGGCGGGCAGGGAGGAGGATGTGGCATTCGACAGGGTAGGAGGAGGAGGAGGAGGAGGAGGAGGAGGAGGAGGAGGAGGAGGAGGCTTTTCGTCGCTTTTTTGGAGAACTGTGCGGGCCAAATTGGGTCGCGGACAAGACGCCTCTGTGGAAGGCTTCTTGGGGTGATTCGGGGGCCTCTTGCGACATTTCGATACCTTCTGGGGCCCCTTCGAGGCCCAGTAGGGGTCCTTTTGGGCTTCCAGGGGCCTCTTCAGGACTTCTTGGGGGTCTCGGGGGACAACGTTCGGGGAAGGCTCGATATGTCGGTTCGGGTTCCCCCTCTTGGGGCCTTCATGGGAGCCTCTTGAGCCCATTAGGGAGGCCGCTTGGGGCGGACAGTTTTTGGCCGTCCTGGGAGCCTCTTCGACTGACTTGCAGCAACCTTGGAGATCTCTGGGGTCGTCTTGGGGTGGTCAGATGCTTGAAAAGGCGGTAACGCTCAAATCTTTCAGGAACCAAAGCAAAGTAAATGATTCGCACCTCTTCGGACCTCTGTTCGAGCCCTCCTGGGGCGTCTTGGGCCCCTCCTGGGCCGTCTTGAGACCAACCCCGGCCATCGTGGAGCGCTCTTGGACCGAGGCGGTGGGGCATGCCACCTGCTTGGCGCCTCCTGTGGGAGGCGCTCTCGAGGCCCCCGGGGCCGCGCCCCTAATTTGCCGGGACCTTGGTGGGGTATTTTCCGCCCGCGCGAATTAGTCACATTCTTAGATGTTTCACCTCAGGAGTTCTTTAGTTATTGCCCGCCTGTTTCTCTCGGCGGGGAATAACTCGCCTCTCCTCCTCCTGCTCCTCTTCCTCCTATTCCTCCTCCCTCCCTCCCTACGTCCTCCTGCTCCTCCTGCTTCTCCCCCTGCTTCTCCTCCTTCTCGTCCTCCTGCTCCTCCTCGTATCATTCCTCAAGAAGAGGAGAGGAGGAGGAGGAGGAGGAGGAGGAGGAGGAGGAGGGGCAGGAGGAGGAGGAGGAGTTGGAAATGAAGGAGGGACAGGATGAGGAAAAAGTAGCTTCCACCATTGGTGGGACTCCAGTCCGCCAAGAAGGGTGCCGCAAGATGACTTAGCTTCCATCTAGTTCGGGGGGGAGTTCTAGATACCTATCGCGTTCGCCGGAGATTTCAGCACGCCTCTGGCCCACTGGGCTGGCGAATCGGGCGTGGGAAACTTCACGGGCCTCCACGGGTCTCCGGAGGCGTCCGGAGACTTCAGTAGACTTTTGGGGGGGAGTGTACCCGGGGACCCCGGGAGGACATTGGCCCTTACCAGGGTCCCTTTCGATCCGATTCGATATTGATCCCTGAGCCCTCGCATCGAGCGGGGACTCAGGGACTACGGGCGGACTCTGAGGTGCTTGGTTTGCACCTTCTTCTCGGCGGCATGTCGGAAGAGAGGGGTCCTCGCAAGCACTGGAAAGCGGCTTGCCGACCAACGTCCACTCGTGGGGCGCTGGCGGCGGGCATGTCTCCTCTCGCTGCTTGTTGACCAGCCGGACTCCGTCATGAACAAAGAAAATGATTCCTGAGCCCTCGATTCGATTCGATGGCGATCTGTCGACGAACCGAGACGGCTCGATTCTGGCATGGCTTTGTGGTGTATCCTGGCGCAGCCGATCCGATTCGATCTCGATTTCGTGCTGATCCAGCCCGACAGGATTTAAGTTGGGCCTGTCCCTCTACAGGAGGAAAATTCAAAAATAGTCAAGAAATAGTCCGGGGACGATGTTGTGAGAATTTTGTTGGCAATTTTTGAATATGTTTTGTTTCGCCCAAAATCCGCCTGTAAGGAGACATGCCCGACCTCAGACTGGATCCGACTTTCCGATTCGATGCTGACCGACCATGCTTACTCTCCCAATCATCGCACATCGGGGATCGGGTGCCACGCCTTGCCAGGGAAGGTGCGGCTTCGATTTCGGGGGCCTGTCTTCCATAGATCGGCGATACATGGTCGATTCCACGCCGAGGATCCCACCATGTGAGCTCTTTGTATTCATTCTTTTGCCGATCGGCGCGGGCCCTCGCACCCCCCCTCCACCCCTCCACCCCTCCCGTGGAGTAGACCTTGGCTGTTTTTGGCAGGTGGAGTCTCCCCATACAGGACGCCCGGTCCCAAACAAGCGCACTCAGCAGAGGTCCAAAGCCAGACCCTCCCCCTCCCCCACCCCCTTCCGCCCAATGTCGAAACGCCGAATCAAAAACGTTCACCATACAGTCGGGGCCATGACGAAGGAACTCTTTCGGTTGGGGAGGGGCTCCGCGTTCCTTAAGTGCTTCACAGCTTGCCTCAGGTTTTCCTTATGTTTTCGATGGGAAGTCGAAGTTCAACTTATGGAAAAAAGGGGCCTCGTTCCTTAATCAGGGTTCCTTAGGTCAACGCCCCGACTGTAAGCCAGCCCCCCCTTCTCGGTTCACCTCGCCTTGCGCCGAGGTCACCAACCCAGCGCTGCTGCAGTACAGCGAGCAGCTAGACTCCGTGAGGCCGATGGTAGACATGATGCAGCACAGGCGGGCCTGGGGGATCGAGGAGAAAGGAGGACGAGGACGGGGAGGGATAGTAGGCAATATGATTCCCAAAAACGGCTGCCACGAGTACCATTGCTCAAAACTTCTGTGAATGTCAGAAGTTGTTCCAGCGGCAAGGCGAGTTGTTTCGCAGTGTCAGCTGATGCGTGAGCTGTGGATGGCTTGTCGAACCGTTTGTTATTTGTAGGGGGAAGTCGGCGGGTTTGCGGGTGCGTTCGCATTTCTTAGATTCGCGATTGTACTGCGCGACCAGACTCGGTCTCAAGGGTACGTGCGATATTGTTCTTGATGTGTGTGGACAGGTATTGTCTCATTTCCCAGCGGTCGGGCTTCATAGCGCGCTGGGTCATGCTCTGATCGCTCGGATGTGCTGACAGGGGAAGTGAATTGAGCAGTAGTTTCACGCACGTGTCGCACCTTTGTGATCCGCGTGGTGCACCCTTCGTGCCCCATTCTCTACTCTTCCTCCTTCTTTCTATTCGTAGCACCCCGCTGTCGCGGATGAGAGTGAGGCGGCGGGCGCGGGGTGGGTCGCAGGTGGGTCGAGGGTGGGTCGCGTGTGGGTCGTGGGCGAGGACGCCAACAACGCAACAACCACAGCAATCCGTATCGCGGAACCCAACTCCAGCCACGCGCCCAGGGACAGTGAATGACCGCTCGGCTCCCTCACTCTGACATGCATGTGATGTGTACGCATATCCGCAAGCGCTTCGCCCTCTGCCGCGGGCCCCCTCCCTATCATGCTGGGAGGTGCCAGAGCTGTGCTGGGAAGCGTCGGCGCTGTTTCGAACATGTCTGGGGACATCCGGTAGAGGGAAACAATTAGTGAACACCGCCCCTACCCCCCCAAACTCAAATTTGGCACCCGGGGGGGAGACTGCGGTAGAGATGCAACTCATCAGACCCACCGCCAACTTTGAACATTGGGGGGAGGGGGAGGCGTTCACAGATGAATGTGACATCAGTGTTCGCTATTTTGTCCGATGCCTGTCGTGCGAGGGCGAGTGGTATTCAGCAAGCACCTCGAGATGTTAGAGTTGCGGTTGAGCGCCCCGTGGCCTCAGGAGCGCGCGTCTGGCGTGGCGTTCCAAGGGGCGGTTGGCTTCGGGGGTGCACACCTGGCGTTGTTCACACATGGTGTTGGCCTCGGACGCGCAACGTGGCGCAGGTTTCCAGGGGGGTAATATTAAGTCGGGCCTGTCCAACAAAAATAAACAATACCCCAAACATAGCTAAACATAATCCAACAATAGTCTGGGGACTGACTATTTTTTATATTGTTTGACCTGTTTGTGTATTTCCCAACCATCCTGTGGTGTTGGGTCCTCGTTTTGAAGAGACGGTGCCCCGCGTCTCCTCCCGCTGCCCCCTCCTCCTCCCCCTCCTCCCTCCTCCCTGCGTTTCACCCACCCAGTACAGCGTTTCGTGGCCCCATAGGGAGCTCCACCGAAGGCCCCAGTGGCAGGGTTCGCATGCCGGCCCCGCGTTTTGACGCTCCCCTCACACGGTTCGTAGCCCCACAGGGAGCTCCACCGAAAGGCCCCAGTGGCAGGGTTCGCATGGCGGCCCCGCGCCATTTTGGCGCACCCCTCACGGTTCGTGGCCCCGTAGGGAGCTCCACCGAAGGCCACAGAGGCAGGGTTCGCACGGCGGCCCCGCGCCAGTTTGGTGCACCCCTCACACGGTTCGTGGCCCCATAGGGAGCTCCACCGAAGGCCCCAGTGGCAGGGTTCGCATGGCGGCCCCGCACCATTTTGGCGCACCCCTCACGCGGTTCGTGGCCCCATAGGGAGCTCCACCGAAGGCCCCAGTGGCAGGGTTCGCATGGCGGCCCCGCGCCAGTTTGATGCACCCCTCACGGTTCGTGGCCCCGTAGGGAGCTCCACCGAAGGCCACAGAGGCAGGGTTCGCACGGCGGCCCCGCGCCAGTTTGGTGCACCCCTCACACGGTTCGTGGCCCCATAGGGAGCTCCACCGAAGGCCCCAGAGGCAGGGTTCGCATGGCGGCCCCGCACCATTTTGGCGCACCCCTCACGCGGTTCGTGGCCCCATAGGGAGCTCCACCGAAGGCCCCAGTGGCAGGGTTCGCATGGCGGCCCCGCGCCAGTTTGGTGCACCCCTCACACGGTTCGTGGCCCCATGAGGAATTCCCCTTGCTTCGTCCCACCTGCCCTGCGGTTTTCACACTTGCGTATGGTTGGGTCCTTCGCCTGGATAATTTTGTTTGTTGCGTATTGTGTATATTTTTCGTCGAAAATCCTCCTGTAGGGGGTCAGGCCCGACTTAAGGGTAATGTGCAGAAAGGGGTTCTGGATTCGGGGTCGCGAATCTTGGTGCAATTCGCTAGGGTTTCTTGGGTAATGTACATCGAGGTTGGCCTCCTGTGGTTTCCCCACCGACGCAGTGTACGCGGGATTCTGGCCCTCGAAGCGCGCGTCTGGCGTAATGCGCGTGGAGTTCGGGCTTCGAGAGCCCGAGCCTGGCATGAGTTACGAGGGAGCCTTGCCTCGGGAGCGCGAGCCGGGCGTGGTTTGATGTGCATGTTGGCCCCGATTCTGGCGCAGTGAAAAGACTCAAGAAGAGTGTGGCCTCAGGAGCGCGAAGCTGGTGCAATTCACTTCACCATGGATGTTGGCCTCGTCGGGGGTGGACAGCAGCCTCCCCCCTGACACGTCGATCGGTGAATTGTCAGTTTTCGGTTTGGGGAGGGCGCCACGGCCGTCATTTTCCAGGCTGGCGCACGCCAGGTGTTGGCCCGAGGTCGTTTTCACTAGACCACGTTTTACCAAAGGGGGTTCCGTCCATCCCCGACCTCTGGAGCGCGAGCCGGGTGTGATTTGCCTGGCAATTCGGTCCTTGGAAGTTCAAGCAGTGGCGAAGCGTCCCAGTTCGCCTATAGCCCCACCAAACAATGTTCTAATAACCTTAGAACATTGCTGGTTTCCACGAAATATTATGATAACCTTTCTGGTTGAGATTGTCTTGTTTTAACACATCGGGTGTATGTTCTGAGAACATTGTTTTTGTTCTTAGAACATTTTTGGGTTCTAAGAACATTCCGTGGTAGGACTATAGGAATGCTGGGACGGCCGGTCCCTGCTCAAGAAATGCGAGATCCGTGCGCTCTTGGTGTGCATCTCTACGGGCTCTGGTCTCGGGGGAGCGACGTTCGCTGATCCGTACGTGTCCCAGTCCGTCCGGTTTTGGGAGGGCGATTCTCGCTAATCCGAGCGAAGTTCAGGCAATAAGGATCGGGTTTATTAGCCAGGGTGGTGTTCGGTCTCCCCCCCCGCGCGGACCGTGACCACGCACGGCAGGAGGCAGAGTCCAGAGCTGTAAGAGTTGGATGCTGGACATTGGCACCGGCGCAGGGGACAGGAACCCGAGCTTGGCAGCCTTGCGGCCCCTGCAAGGGGGCCCGTATACATACATATATATATATATATATATATATATATATATCCCCGTGCACGAGACCGGGGCGCCCGGGACCGCGACCTCGGGTGCGCGTGGGGGTTCCGGGCGTCGGTTTCCTATGTTTTTACAAGGTTTCGGCGTCCCCGAGCCAACAGGACCCCAAGAGGCTGCAGGGAGGCCCCAGGAGGCCGCAGCAATGGCTCCAGACGCTTTTCAAGACGACTCCCATGACGCCAAGAAGGCCCCTGCCCCTGAAGGCCCCGAAGACGCCCCAAGAGGGAGGCACACCGAGAGAGCCCAATACGCAGAAATCGCCGATTTCCGATTGGAAAACTGATACTTTTGACGTGTTTGCCTTTTGGGCGTCCACTGCACCCAAGCCGGTCGAGGATGCCCCCAAGAGGGCCCCAAGACGGTCCACGAGGGCGCCAAGACGGCCCATGAGGCGCCCAAACCGCACAAGAACGCCCCAGCCCAAGACGGGGACGAGGAACCGGAAATTCTGGCCTTTTGGCCCAAGAGACCTTAGGAGACCCCAAGACCTTCCAAGAAGGGGCCCAGAAGCCCCAAGAGGCCCCCATGAGACCCGAACAAACAGCAAAAGAGGCCCTCAAGACGCCCCAAGAGGCACCCCGAGAGTGGCCCAAAAACAAAAATCGTCGATTTCCGATGGGGAAACTGATATTTTTGGCGTGTTTGCCTTTTGGGCGTCCACTGCATCCAAGACTGCCCAAGAGGCACCCAAGACTGTCAAGGATGCCCCCAAGAGGGCCCCAAGACAGCCCACGAGGGGGCCAAGACGGCCCACGAGGCGCCCAAACCGCCCAAGAACGCCCCAAGGCGGCGCCCAAGACGGGGACGAGGAACCGTAAATTCTGGCCTTTTGGCCCAAGAGACCTTAGGAGACCCCAAGACCTTCCAAGGAGGGGCCCAGAAGCCCCAAGAGGCCCCCATGAGACCCGAACAAACAGCAAAAGAGGCCCCAACTATACCCCAAAGAAGCACCCCGAGAGTGGCCCAACAAGCAAAAATCGTCGATTTCCGATGGGAAAACTGATATTTTTGGCGTGTTTGCCGTCTGGGCGTCCCATGCATCCAAGACGGCCCAAGAGGCATCCAAGGCGGTCGAGGATGCCCCCAAGAGGGCCCCAAGACAGCCCACGAGGGGGCCAAGACGGCCCACGAGGCGCCTAAACCGCCCAAGAACGCCCCTCAGGAGCCCAAGAGGCCTTTCCGAGGAGCCTCCACAGCGCCCCAGGAGGGCCCAAGACGCCTCCCAGGAGCACCCAGAATGCGAAAAGATGGTCCAAGACGTTCCCAACCAGCCCAAATTAGCCTTCGGACGGCTCTCGAGGCTCCCAGGTGGCCTCCAAGAGACCCCAAGAGAGGTCCGAGAGGCGTCCCGGGACGGCCCGAAGAGGCCCAAATCGTCGATTTCCATTTGTTTTTGCAATGTTTTTGGCTTCTCGCGTTTTCGAGCTTCCAATGGTCCAAGAGCGCCGAAGAGGCCCCCAAGACCGCACCAAGACCACCCATGAGACCCTCAGGACGGCCCCGAGACGAGC